CGAGGAAAACGTAAAATAAAATGTGGAGAGGACTCATAATGAAGGCAGGAATTCCAAGGAATACTACCATTAAGTACCAGTCGGTGACAGATGATTTAGTGTCGAAACCTCTTTACCCCTCCAGACACGCCTTTGCCTCCTGGAGGGAGATTGGTTTCATTCTCCTCCTGGACAACCAATCCCGTTTTTACACGTAATTTACCACTCGACATAGATCCAATTTTGTTTGACCATCGCATCAGAATTGGTCACTCAACAGAACTGAGAGACAGAAGAGGTCGTTCACAAGCTACAGGTGAGAGGAGGAGAACCTTCTTTGTCTCTTTGATATGCAATACATTTGCTTCAAAGCACAGTCACTGAAAGTACTTATTCTGTGTTATAAACAGTATTCTCTCACTAGTTCTGTAAAAACATTGCCATCACCATTCTTTTCGAGTCAAATCAGACGCCATAATGAGAACTACTATCCTATCGCGAAAATACATTTTACTCAAATAATTCTAGACTAATGCCTTCAAGGACGGTTCCGCTTAATTTTTCTCATGAAAAGGGTTTTGGATATGTTTCAGAATGGTTCCATTGCTTTCAAATACTCTGTAATTGAGCCACCACAAGTCACGGTTGAATTTTGGATAACCACATGAGAGAAAAGCAATCCAAAGTGTGAACGTGAGGCTCTTTTTCAATTGCGCTACGACTGCACAAACCTAACGCACGAAGTTATACTTTGCTAGAAGTTTAAAGGCCTCTTCAGTTAATTTACACACAAAATATGGAAACTTTAAATCAATCAAAAACATATTCATATAGCGTGATCACTTACTTCCACCCGAAATTCCCGTATCAAAATTCGCCAAATTGGAGAAAGTTTGCTCCAAATCAGACTAAGAACGCACATCACAGCAAATTTAAAACTCCGATGAACTCTCTGATCCATACAATTCCAATATTTCAAAAATTCATTAAAAGCCGCCAGGGGACATTCTGTGAAAATGTTTGACTGCCGGGCATTAAGTACATTTAAGAACGTGCCCCGCCAGAGGGCAAACAGCCGAAGCGTGACAGGTTAGGTTCGCAACCAACTTATTTTTGCGACAAGGTGACTCTTCACAATTTCCATAAAAAATATCTAAAACTTTGCAAAAAGTCGAATCTGGATATGCTGAGCAATATTTAATCATAAAAGATAAGGGTTCCTTAAGTTATCTACCAATTACAGGCGCACAAACGCAAAATTAATGGTAGTTCTAGAAGACTAAAGTGTTGTCATGGTAACACGGTAATTTAAAAACGGATGAAGTTCCGATATTTCAAAAATTCTGAAAGAGCTGCCAGGGAAAATTCTGTAAAAAAAGGAAGACTGTCGGGCACTAAATCCATTTAAGATCACGCCCCGCCGGCGGGCAAACCAGTAAAACCAGTAAAACAAACGAGATGAAATTCATAAACTTGCTGAGGATAACAATATTTTTCTTAACATTAGAGACATTTAGCACCAGGGTTTTCGCATTAACGGTAAATCTGAAACGGCAGTTTCAGGTAAGGCGTTTGGCGTTTGACGTTTATGGTTTCTACCGCTTTAGCTACACCTCTCCATGAAACGGAAGAGCCCGCCATATTGAATTTCCAGACAACAGCAATGTTTGATTTTCAAATGGCAACAAGAAGTCCTATTTTCACTCATTCGCTAAAATTAAGATATATATGTAAACTTGTTCTAAAAGGACTGGTTTGGATAACTTTCTGATCTGTATGCGGCAAAAAACAAATTCAGGATAAAAATCGTTCAAGTCAATCACTTAAGTGAAAAACTACTCTTGGCGTTGAAAACGCACGTTGAGAACTCCGAACGTGACCACGTGACCTCCACCGGTTTGCCGTTCGAGGTTTCCGCTGAACACCCTGGTGCTAAATGTCACTATTTTTCACTTACAAACGAGACTTACTGCATTCATACCTACAAAACTTGTATGATGTCACCTATACCAATCTTTCCTTGCAGGCTGAACTTACTCTCATAACAATGTTTCGAGGGAAAACTGCTGCCATCTTTCTACTCTTTATGATGGCCATGTACCTGAGAGCCATTTGTACATCCATAGAGGATAACGGTAACAAATTAACCCAAGGGACCAGTGAAACGGCAGAGCTTGGAAAAGCGATTAACCTCCCGAAGACCAACACCTTAGAAGATTTAAAGGAACGCGAAGCTAGTATTTTTAAGACTTTCCCTGAAGAATGCTTCAGTAAGGAAAAGGTTAAGATCTCAAAAAGTTACTATGATTATTACGAAAGTACCAAGGCATTTTTCTCTAAATTGGCTACACAAACTGGATTGGAAGCCTCGCTGGAGTTGACTTATTCCCTGGGAGTTACACTGAATAGCATTACAAGGAGTACATCTAAGGAAGAATCGAATTTGAGTGGGATCTCTTTGACAGTCGAGTCATTGTTCGAAAAGCTTCGTCTGGACAAAGACTGTTTAAATGATAAAGAGTACAACTTTAAGAAGAACTTTGAGGACAACCTAAATATACTGCCGCTGAAAATCAATCAACCCTGTTTGAAAAATTCGTTAAGAAAATACCATGATTTCTTCCACAAGTACGGCACCCACGTTGCAAGTTCCGTTACGCACAGATAAAAAATCAAACAGATGTCTTTTACACAAAGTTCAAAGTCCTACAGTGAAAGGGAGCTTCAGGTGAAAGCTTGTCTTTCCTTAGCAGGTCGTACATCCTTTGGAAAAGTCGGTGTCTCAGCATGTACAAATGTAACCGATAGAGAAGCGTCAAAAGCGAGTAATATGAGCACCAATGATAAGTGGATCGTCCGAGGAGGAAGCAGCGAGATTCGTAACAAGCTTTTGCAAGACATGTCCAAGGAATTGATCCAACAGCTTTTGAATGAAGCCAGCGAGACACACTTGTATGTTCAGCACACTTTCAGAGCGGTGTGGCGAGTCTTACAGAGCCTTTTCACGTCAGGATCACCTCACCACCATGAAGGAAGGAAGTGCAGGAAATTTGTAACCAGAAGAATTGTTGTAACTATAATGACAATTGCACAATGTAAATCGGCTAATTATTGCATGATGCTGAGTGAAATAAAAGGCTGAATGTCTTGAAACGAGTTTGAGTTGTTTTCAACTTCCACCATTTCTGTTCGCGTTCAGTTGCCATGGGTTGTGTGTTTGATCAAAGCTTTACATTATATTTGATTTCTACCGATTAATGCCAACAATAGATGAGCTTTCAAAGGCCTTTGGGAGAAATTGAGACCTCGACGTTTATTCTTGGAATTTCAACGATGAACTGACGGTTAAACCTTTTATTAAGGGACTTTAAGCAGTCAGGACGGCAACGGCATGGAAGAAGTCGATTAAAAAATGAGTTTCTACTTTTAGTTAGAATTTCGAAAATGGCTGCATGTGTTTACCGTCTCATAGGGCGCCAGACCTCAAACTCAACATAACGCATAAAAGTAGCGTTAAGTTCCAAATGTAAATTAAAATAATTTGCCGCCGCGGTTTCGGTTCGCAGACGACGCAAATTTTGGTGATTTCACGTTGTTGTTTTGCAAAGAACGGCTAAGAAATGTACAAAGTTTTAAAACGCACGTGTTGGGCTATTGTTCTGTCAATTAGATCTATTGTTTTTTCACGTTCTCGTTGCCGTAGCCGTCGTGGTTTGCTTAAAGTCCCTAATTTTTAACTCAAAACTTGTTGAGGTGTTTTCGTGAAGCTTTCTATAAGTCTGTTCGCGTTATTTTGCTTTGCTTTGCGTGTTGGGCTTGATTTAAAGTTTACATTCCAGTTGATTTTTGTAACTTGATGTCACCATTAAAAAAAACAAAACCCGTTAAAAGATAGTGGAATCTCATTTTTTTATCGGCTGCAATTTCAACAGTGCAGTGGCAGTTATATTTTTTTTTCAATTTTCTAGATCGTGCGCGTTTTATCTTGAGATCAGTCTGAAAAGTTTAATGAATACAAAACTCCTTAGTTTGTATTAAGGCAAAATCCATTTGCCCTGAATCTTTCTCAGTCTGTTATGATTGTTTGAGTCTTGCTTCAGTCGTAACAGTTGATCACATATTTCATGGACTGCCCAACGCAAGGAGTTTACGGTTAAGTCGCCCGAAAGTAATCTCGCCCAAGGTCACGTCGCCCGGAATCAGAGTTATGCCGCCTGAGATTTTTAATCATGTCGCCTGAAGTTCTGACTTGTCACTAGATTGCTTTATTACATGTAAAAACAAAATGGCAAATTAAGAGGACAGGGAGCACTGAGTGTATCAATGGATCGAACAACAATTTTGGTGAATATATATCCGTTGCTGACCTTCAATGATGAAATTTCACTGTAAATACGACATGACACCCAAACGTTCAATTGGAAAGCAACGGATTAAGCACTGTAGATCGCGTTTGGTACGAACACTGGCTTCTTTTGGTTCATAGAGAGGCGCAACACTTTACTTTGTTGTTAAATACGAACAATACTTTTTGACATACAGTCAACATTTATGTCCCAGTATTTGATATTTGTCACTGTGATCATATATTTCAATTTGGACCATCCGATCGTTTTCTGTGCAGTAATCTGGTCGCGTTGGATACGAACTTTTGGTTCATAGAAACAAACAACGCTAAATTTAATGTTGGAAACGAACAACACGACTTGCCTATTTACAGTCAGTTCTTTCATCGAATCGCAATAAGATCTCGGATGTCTTAAGTTCAGGCGAGATGTATTTCAAGCGATTTGCCGGCTTCCCACGCAAAGATGTCACCAGTAAAAATTACCAATGAGGACCGATGGCCTGGTGGAATGTCATGTTTCCTAAACCGTAAAAACTAAAGAACATTCTTGAAAATAACATGCCAACTCTTCACACAAAATAAGCCACATGCCGTTCTTCCAATGAGGTAAGAATTCCTGACAAAGGTTCATTTTGTAAAAGCAGAACGTATCTTCATTTTAACTAGCAACACATCGAAAGTCATCACAAAGGATTTACCTCACTCGGTAAGTATAAAAAAAAATGTCATCAGATGTAACTTAATTTCAGTGTTAATGGGCTTATGTCTGCCATTGTGGTGCCCTTAGAGCTAAGGACGTTATAATTATGATATCAACTTCTATTCTATCCTGTAGAAGAAAAATCAAATTTACCAAAACAAAACAAAGACAACGAATCTTTAGATATCACGTTAGAAAATTTTTTTTAAGAGAAGAAAGGTATAAAGTTAGTTTTCCAAATTGTATAAAGAACAGTTTGTTTTCCCTGAATGGCCGAAAAATCGAACTATGAAGTACCAACATAGAATCAGGACGATTTTTACAGCCTGGTGTACCAAGATAAAATATTGCAAAAAGGGGACAGTCTATTTTGTTATTAACATCTAGGTGGATTCTGATAAAAAAAGAAAAAGTCCTAAGAGACTCGTTAAAGGGGCTACGCCACGAAATCCCTTACCTTAAATGATCACTAATTAAATGATAGGCAGCTTGCATAAAATAAATTTCTTCATAAGCGGTTGTAATGTAATGGTTAATCAGGGCATCTGACCCAGCATTGACGGATAAATCAATCGACATGTCGAAGGTTGAATGTCGTAATTAAATTAAAACGTTCGTAGATCGTTTTGACTAACACGTTAATTGCCATTTCTGACGAAGTGTTCGTTGAAAAAAATAAGGAAATAGTCGTTCAAAAACTTTCAGCCGCGGTCCTTTTCTCATCGACTCAAAAGGTGTTTAGGTACTCTTTTAAATTTCAATAATTCTGTTCCATTGCTTTTCTCTGTTTTGCGTTTATCGTTTCATCAAACTTTATATTTCACTGGATTTCTATCGATTGATCCAATCATTAAATAAGGAAACAAACACCGCTGAAATAAAGTGGGACCTCGACGATTATTGTTGCAATTTCAACAATGAACCAACAGTTGAACTTTTTCGTATTATTTTGGATCTTAATTGACCTGAAAGTTCGTGAAACTAACACTATTTAGTTCGCATTAGGGCAAAAACCAGCCGCAAAATTTTTAATAATTCAAACCTCACCACGAGTTGTTGAGAACCTTTTGAGTTGCAAAATTGATGGCATATTTCATGGACTTCCCACAGAGAGGTCACCAGTTTTCTTGTAAGTTTTCTTAACACTTCTGACCAAAAATCGATGAATAAGTCAATCGACATGTCGAACGAAATGATTCGATACTCAGCCTTTCGACACTCCGCTTTTGATTTTTGGGATTTTGCACAAGAAAAATGATTCTTTAGAAAGGTTAAATGCCGAAATTTACTCATAGGTTAGAAACCAATTTTGACGAACACGTAAATCACGATTAATAATAAAGAAGTCTTTTGAAAAATATTCAGCCCCTCATAGTAACAGTCTTAATTTCTTCCATTTAGAACTTGTTAAGGTATAGTCGTTCAGCTTTCTATAATTATGTTCGCTTTTTATTAAATCAAAACTCCTTAGTTTGCATTTAGGCAAAACCTATTTTCTCTGAATCCTTCGCAGCCTGTTAATTATTTAAACTTCACCAGGAGTTGTTGAGTGCCTCCCGAGTCGTAACAATTGACAACATAATTCACAGACTGCCTAAGAGGGGTCACCAGTAAAAATTACTTATAAGACAGTGGCCTGATGGAATTTCACGTTTTCTCCAATAAACCGTGAAAACTCAAAAACATTCTTGAAAATCACCCACCAATTTATCACACAAAGGAAACCACGTGTTAGTCTTCTAATGAGTTAAGAATTTCCAGGAAAGTATTTATTTTGTGACAGCAAAACGTATCTTCATTTTAACTTGCGTCACATCAAGACATCAAAGAGGGTCTACAACACTCAGGTAGTGAAATATCTTTCTCTAGATTAAGGTTAACTTCATTGTGAATGAGCTTTTATCTTCCATTGCTGTACCCCGCATAAGCATAAGCATTTAGTCTATTATCAACTTTTATTCTACGCTATAAAATACAAATTCGATTCAATTAAAAAAATAATAATCATCATAAAAATATAACGAAAATACATTTAAAAATATCACGTAGATACGATTTTTCCAGAGGAGATAGGTCCACCTTGTTTTCCCTATCAGAATGAAAACTTAAAATGATATTTACAAGCCTAAAATCATGATTATCTTTACCAAACAGTATGCCAAGAGCAAATATGACGAAAAATAAGGAGTTATCTTGTTGTCAACATCTGTGATAAATTCTGAAAAAAAGGTCTCAGGAGACTCGCTAAAGGACCTAGGCCACGAAATTGTTATGTTAAAAGTCTCCTTAACGAGTTCTCAACGTAAGTTAATCAAGTAGTTGGAAGATTGAATCAACTAGGAGAAATCTGTACGTAAAGCGTTTAAAATGAAATAGATAATCGGCACATAAGTCCATGAATCGACGAATATATCTATCGACATTTCCAATATAATGAAATAATTTGATACCCGTTAGTGACTCGTATTTTCTTTTTGGGGATCTTGCAGCCCTAAAACTATTGATTTTCCAGAAAGGTTGAATGTCGTGCACTATCAAAATGTTCGTAAACCGTTTGGACGACTACGTAAATTTCCAGTAATAAAGAAGTTGTCGATAAAGTGGGATCTTACTGTTTATTGTTGGAATTTTAACAGTTAAGTGACAGTCATAAGTTATCTTAATTTTCTGGATCTTGAGTTTAATTTCAAATACGATCAGTCTGAAAAGTTAACTGAGACAAAGATTCCTTAGGTTACATTAAGGCAAAATCCATTTGCCCTGAATCTTTCGCAGTCTGTTAGTTATTTAAACTTCACCAGGAATGGTTGAGTCCTTGAGTCGTAACAATTGATCACATATTTTATGGACTGCCTAACGCAGGGAGTTTACGGTAAAGTCGCCCCAAAGTCATATCACCTGAAGTCACTTCGCCGGAAATCAGAGTTATGTCGCTCGAGAGTTTTAATGATGTCGTCTGAAATCCTGACTTAGGTCACTCGATTATTTTATCACATGTAAAAAAAAAATGGCAAATTAACATGTAGAGGGAGCACTGAGGGTACCATTGGATCGAAGGACCATTTTAGTGAAGATAAATACGATGCTGACCCTTGAATGATGAAATTTCACTTCAAATACGACCTGACACCTAAACCTGCCATTGCAAAATGACAGATTAAGCACTGAAAATCGCGTTTGGTATGACCACTCGGTTCTTTTAGTTTACAGAGAGGCACAACGCTTCGCTTCGTTGTTAGAAACGAAAAACACCTGTATATTCGCTGCTCAAATATAAAGTTAACGCTGATGTCTCAGTACTTGAACTTTCTCATTGAGATGATATATATTTTAATTTGGACCGTCTGATCTTTTCTGTGTGGTTAAGCTCCGATGGTCGCGTTTAATGCGAACTTTTGGTTCTTTTGGTTCAGAGAATCAAAAATGCTGAACATGATATCGGAAACGAACAACTATCACCTATTTACACTCTGTTTCAGTTTACCTGTTAAATCGCAATAAGATCTCGGACGACTTAACTTCTGGCGAGATGACTTTCAGGCAACTTGCCTGGTTCCCACGCAAAGAGGTCACTAGTTAAAATTACCAATAAAAAACAATGGAATGTCATGTTTCTTAAACCGTAAAAACTAAGGAACATTCTTGAAAATAACATACGCACTGTTCACACAAAATAAGCCACGTGCCTTTCTTCTAATGAGGTAAGAATTCACAACAAAGGGTCACTGTGTGAAAGCAGAAAGTATATTCATTTTAACTTGCATCTCATCGAAAATCATCAAAAAGGATCTACATTACTTGGTTAGTAGAAAAAAAACCCTTAATAATGTCGCTTAATTTCAGTGCTAATGGGCTTTAATTGCCATTGTGGTGCCCTATGAGTAAAGGACGTTAAAACTATATGATCAACTTCTATTCTATTCTAGAGAAGAAATATCCAATATACTAATAGAAAAATTCAATGACAATGAATCTCTAGATACCATGTTAGAAAAATTTTAAGAGAAGAAAGATGCAAAGTCAGTATTTCAAATCAGTGTAAAGAACAGTTTGTTTTCTCTGAAAACCGAACCGTTAAATACCAACATAGAATCATGATCATTTTTACAACCTTGCTTACCAAGATAAAATATCACAAAGGGGACAGGTTATTTTGTTATTAACATCTAGGTGGATTCTGATTAACAACAACAAAAAGAAAAATAACGAGGAGACTCTTTAAAGGAGCTACGCCACGAAATCGCTTGCCTTTAAATAGCTGCTTGTATAAAATAGATATCTTCATTAGTGGTTGAATCAGGGCAGATAGATATCTTCATTAAAGGGTGAATCAGGGCATCTGACCCAGCATCGACGGATAAATCAATCGACATGCCAAATGGAATGTTCGCTCGTGACTTCCCTTCTTTTTCGGGATGTTAATGCGAGAAAAAATGTTCAGTGAAAAACTTGAAGGTCGCACTATATTGAAACGTTTGGTGAAAAGGATGAATATCGTTCTTTAATGAAAAGTTCTGATTAACATGTTAATCGCCATTAAAACAAAGTGGTCATTAAAAACATCTATGACGACATGGTCGTTCAAAAAATTTCAGCCGCGGTCCTTTTCTCGTCGATTTGAAGACATTTAAGTATTATTGTAAATTCCAATAATTCTGTTTCTGTTTACTTTCTCTGTTTTGCGTTTTTGTTTTATCAGGCTTGATTTCAATTGATTTCTATCGATTGATGCCTCCAATGAATAAAGAAACAAACACTGTCGGACGAAAGCGAGACTTCGACGATTATTGTTGCAATTTCAACAATGAACTGACAGTGATACCTTTTCTTAACTCTTTGGATCTTAATTGCTTCCTTTGGATTCGTCTGAACGTTTGTGAAGCTAAGACTACTAAGTTCGCATCAGGACAAAAACCAACGGCAGCATTTTAAAGGAGAACTAAAGCCTAATTAAAACTGAACCATTTTTAAATTGCAGCTTATAGTTCAAATAGCAATGTTCGAGGGTTTTTTCAGTCTTGAGGCCAAACTTCGCCTTGAAAAAATAGTTTAAAGTGGTATTTTGGCCTCGTAGTACGGCGGCTCAGAAAAGCGATGTCAGCGGTCAATTTAGCTTGCTCTTACGTCACTGGTGGGGAAGAAAGATATTAAACCCGTATTCTTCATATAGAACTTTGGTTTTGTTATGGAGTTATCGAAGTTGCGTGACTTTTAATGGGGATTAACTACGAAAATGAAATAGTAACAGTCGTTTTTCTTGAGTTGGTTCTCCACCACTGACTTCATAACCGACCGCTGCTGACTTATTTTGAGCCCACGGTCTTACAGCCCCAAAAGTGGGAAAGAGGCAACTTCAAATCGAATCTTCTCGTAAAAAACAAGAAGTGAACGAAAATGAATATCGACACTTTATCTTACTCCTCTAAAGCTAACTAGAAATGAATGCAAACAAATTGTCACTGTTATTATGATTATTATCACTATTATTATCGTTGTCACTGCTATTCTCATCGCCATCGACATTTTCGTTTTCATCATCATTTGTCACACCACTTACTCCATAATAATGTGTATATTTGAACCAAATCCTGACTAGTTCATTTAAACCTGTCTTGGTTTTGCAGTTTTCAAGCTTTATCGCAGTCATCAAGAGAAGGAAGCTTTCAAGGAAGGAATCATGTTTGTCTCCCTGGCACTGTTGCTATACCTGACCCTTGCTTTTTCTGAAGCAAAAAAAGCTGACAAAGGTGAAACAGGAGGGCTGGGAAAAATAATTTTCCTTCCGAGGATAAACCTATTGGCCGACTTTCAAGAAAAGGAGAACAGCATCTTTGATCCACTTTCTCCAAAATGCATCACAAAAAAAACCTTGAAGTCGTCAAGCAGCAAGTTCCACTACTATAAAAGTACCAAGGCATTGTATAAGTCACTGGCCACCGAGTCAAGCTTGAGTGCCTCGTTAACCTCTTCGTTTACTTTGAGCGCTACTGTATCAGTGGCAACAAAGAGCAAAAGCTCAGAGAAAACGGAAGTGAGCGGCATATCTTTGATCATGCAGGCGCTGACGGAAAAGATTTACGTCGATAAAGAGTGCCTTCTGAGTTCCAAAAGGTCCTCCCTAAAAGAAGAGTTCAAGAAACATTTGAAGACGCTACCATTAAAGATCGAGAAACCTTGGCTTCACCATTCTTGGAAGGCATATAGCGATTTCCTGGAGACATACGGCTCTCACGTCATAACGTCTGAGGAGGAGGGATCAAGGTTCCAGCAAATGGTGTTCGCAGAGAGCTCTGAATCTTATAGCGAGAGAGATTTCCAGGTTAGAGCCTGTATTTCGGCTGCAGGTCCCACATCCTATGGAAAGCTTGATGTTGCTGCTTGTTCTAACGTGAGCGAGAGTGAAAAATCCGAGGCAACCAAGATGAGTACTAGCGAGACACGGTTCGTCAGGGGAGGACTACGTGATACAAACAGCGCGTTGACCAATGGAAAGGCGTCCGCGGAACTGATTAAGAAACTTTTGAATGAAGCTAAAAAGTCACCTTCGCCTGTGCAGCATACTTTCATGCCGATCTGGATCATATTAAAAAGCCATTTCATTTCAGGAGATGATGATGATGTTGATAATTACGTCCGAGCAACAAACCTTCAGTACTACTACAGTGGTTACTTGGACTATGGCTGCTATTACAGTACAAGCGGTACACTTCAAATTCAAAAGTTCGACTACACCGAACAATCAACGAGTAGATATCCAGAATTCGAATGGACTCTCGCTAAGGAAGGTTGCCATGACGATGACGATTGTCATTACATAGTTGGTGTTTGGTGCAGTTGTTTGGGAGATTCGTGTGTTCACTACAGTTCGGAAAAACGAATTACAGGTCAAATCAAAGAAACGGCATACATCAACAGGCACACCTGGGACTGGAAAGGATGCGATTGGAAAATCTGGGGGTCAGTTTGTGAGTGCGACAACAAAGATCGCAATAAAAGGAAGGTTGTGTGGCACTTACCCATCACCTCCAAAGATGCTGGAAAACATAAAGCACATGGGAACGGAACATACCTCGAGCCAAAAGATCCAGTTCCGCGTCAGGGGTGGAGAACCCCAAGACCTAATACCGCTGAAGATGTTGCCAAGCCTTCAAAACCCGGCAGTACCAAGCACCACACAGCAAATCATCCGATTCAAAATCAACGAAAGAAAGAGGAAGAAGAAATGTGATATTTCTCTTATCTTACATGTAATCACTGAAATGGCGAGCACCTAGCAAAACTTAAAGAAAAACTGGACTAATACAACAGTCGGCCATTCGATCGGAGCTGGACAGCTGTACTTACAACATTTCGCGACCACTTAAGTAGAATGTTAAAATGCAAATCCAGTTAAAATGTTAAAATAAAAGAGAGTGCATCCACTTGAATCAAACCCATTCTTGTTAAGGGAAAAGGGAAAGGGGAAGGAGAAAGAATACATTAGAACTAATTATCAAAAGACAGAACTGTAGCTGGCCCTATTTCTGTACTGGCTTCAGTTTCTGGTGAAAAAGGAATTACCCAAGCATTACTAAACTGTCTCGTTTAAAGACCCTGGTAAATCACCTACACGTTTGGTAAATGGCAACCCAAATAAGAAAATGACCTGTACAAGTGATGCTACTGAGGCCGAGCCCCGTATACCACATCTGGGCAAAGCCCATGCACTGGCCACGGATTGTACAACTTTTTCGGTCCTATTCAAGTCGTAAACCGGGGTCGGACATTGAAGCGAAATAAGAGATAACTCGTTAATTAAGAAAAAAAAACAGTCAAGTGTACTTATTGATCAAATGAAGTGAAACAATGACAGTTGGGGGTTCAAAATTGGTTGTGGATTGGTTTGCCGTACCTTTTCTTGGTTAAAAAATATGTTCGTTGTCGGTTTAAAATCGGTTGTGGATTGGTTTGGCGTACCTTTCCTGGGTTTAAAATACGTTCGATGTTATTGATCATAATTATTGGCTAAGATGAACCGTGATAGAGGGATCCCAGTCATCCACAAGGCGTTGCGCACCTTGTCCTTTAAATGTTCAATGGGGTCTATCATCCAAGTGCATACGAGGGATTTCTTGACCTTTAGGGGCTTAAAATCGGTTGTGGATTAGTTTTCCGTAGGTTACCTTGGTTAAAAAAATACGTTCGTTCTCGGTTGAGGGTTTAAAATCGGTTAGGGATTGGTTTGCCGTACCTTTCCTTGGTTAAAAAATATGTTTGATGTTATTGATCATGATTATTGGCTAAAATGATCCGTGATAGAGGGATTTCCAGTCATCCACAAGGCATTGTGCACCTTGTCCTTGAAATGTCCAATGGGGTCTATCATCCAAGTGCATATGAGGGATTTTTTCTGGTAGTTATATAAGCGGTTTCTCGTAATTTTGTTGAGAAATTTTTCTTTTTAACTAGAATCATCGATGGCATCTCTCATTCCTTCGCATCAGTGGAAGACCTACAGCCAAGGAGAAAAACTTCAACTTGTGGAATGATAGGAATGATAGTTCCAGAATCAAAGGTCTAACTAATAGCCAATTTGAAGAGATTCTGCTGCAACAAAGCGTCGACAAGCTCCGCGCGAGGTGCAGGTCACATGAGGCAAATGACTAGCTAAAACTTGAAGTATTCAGTTGACAGGCCCGCACGACCCCTGCCATTCGCAAGCGATTTTAAACATCTGCCTTCAAAGATTAGTTCTGACTAAGATATATGTTTTGTTGAATTTTCTTTGGGATGTGATTAAGTGCGCTGGTTTGAAGGAAGGTGCCATTTCCCCATTAGTAAGCTCTTGAGCTTAGATAAATGCGGATAATATTGTGTTTAAAAAGGCAATATTTTCTACTGTGTGCTATTTTCGTTTTTTAGTGACCCTTCTCTACCAGAGTAGATAATTTCAGGCATTTATTCCTTCAGAACGTCGTCGAATTCCCTTTTTTGAGCATATTTTGATACACTGTAAGCTTTTTTAATCGTGGAGCGCGTCGGGTTTGTTCTTAAGGTGCGTAACACATCTCTTCTGCGAATTCTTTCTTGGTAAAAAGTGTTGACAGGCCAGCACGACTCCTGCCATGCGTTGAGTGTAATATGGACAAATTTCTCCGCAGTTGTCCATATGTAAACAAAAACAGATGCGTGGTTGACTAGGATCATTACTGGAGTAGTTCACTACATGTTGAAGTCTGATTCTCTAATTACACGCATCGATGTCTTATCTTTGGCTCACTATCTGGTGTTTGCTAACAGGCTGACAATCCAAAAAGAACGAGACCAATATTCAGCCATCCTGACCGAACAAGCTTGGTCAATATAACTGTTTTTAAACCACGATAGTCGTTTATGTTTTCTTTGTTTAGACAGTCCTCTTCCGCTTTTGCATCTCTGTCACCGATTACGGTCCAAAAATTAGGAACTTTGTATGTCTGCTCCAAGAAATATTTTTGTCTTGCGTAGGATCAAAGCGGGAAATCCCGAACGGGCAAGATGAGCCCATTTCTCCCACTCTGGTAGCCAATCGGAACGCAAGATTCGCTTCACATTGCCCACGGACACTGCCAGCAATATAATAAGATTAAGTTTTCGATACTTTTGTCTTCACGGACTGGTTTTGGTTTGAATCATTCGATCAAAAGAAAGGTTGCATGAAAAATGCCATTAGTTACGTTTTAATCGAGAAATTTGCAGGTAGAAAAATCAAGTTCACCCACCTTTCATTTCCTGCGTAGTCTGAGGTGATTTAAGAGATTTGGTATCCTCCTCTTTACTGACTCCCCACCAAATATTTAGAAATTTGCGCCACTCTCAAAAAGGATTCTCCTGTCTCCTTCCATTTGGGGAGCAATTTACCAGCGCCTATCGACTGTTATTTCACTGAAAATTGGGCGAGGTCTGAACTCAGTTTTAATTGCCCAAAATGTAGTTCCTGGCGCATTTCAATCTGCATATAACAATTGCATGCACTGAAAGTTCCCCAGTGTTCAAAGTAGACGCATACGCGTAAACTCTAATTAAGTATTGCTTCTATCATTACTGACACACTCCTACTACAGACAACGCTGGGCCAAACCTTGGTTGCCCATCAGCAATTCCCCAAGTTTGGACCGTAAATTAAAACTGAAGTGGCCAGCATTTCTCTTCTGAAGTTCTACAAAGAACTGCTCTAGTTCATACAAAAATTAATTCATGAATGATAAAATTAGAAAAAGAAAGGGAAAGGCATTAAAACATACTTTGTATTCGACAGGTGAATCTTTTCAGTTTAACTATGAACGAATTTAACTCAAGCGAAAAGGTTATACTACGTTGGGCTAACTCGATGAAAGAGTCTGCTTACATCTGAAATATAAGTAAAAGTAAAAAGTGATGATGTAAATATAATGATTGACTTCATACCGATGGACACAACTTCCTAATTGTCACATATCTGAAAATTCTGATTTATTTAAATTAATTAATTAGTTATTCGTACACTGTATAAAGTTGTAAATTTGTACAAAGCGATAACCGTTCTTGACTCGGCTGATTGTCGAGACTAGTTATCGCTTGTTATGGAATGATTATCGTTTCACTCTCGTGTCTATTTTTGCTTCCCTCGGAGAAGCAGAAGAAAAGGAACATGGGCTCATCAATTTTCCAAACAGTGGCTTTATTTCCCTTACCGAAGAAATACCTAAAAGTCATAAGACGACATATACAAATATTGTGTCAACTACAAAGGAACTAGTTCTTCTTCTTGTATATTTCAATTTGCTGTATGGCGATCTAAATTCACGAGGTTAAGCCTGAGCGCTTCGTTGAAGTATCAGCGCTAACAAAATCTGACGAATGTTCATCTTTGTCTACCATCAGAAATTTGTTAGCATTTCCACACTCTCCTTTTAGAGAAACGTTGCGACAAAACACGACCTTCTGGCTTCGAGTTGTTAATGGGGAAGAATTGGTCGCACTTAACCTCCCCGAAAAAAATCTAACAGGTCACCAGGATAGGTGTGCTAAATTGTCCGCCTTTCACAAGTTCAACAGGCCGCCTGCAGTTAGTTTAAAGATTTGGGAAACACAATAATTATCGCACGCCATTACAATGATATTTTGTGTTGAGTTAATAACGTACTGGCAAGTCACTGAGATCCAGAACCAAAACTGCCTCGGGTAAATCCACATCCACATCCCAATACACCGCTGAAAAGAAAAGAAACGTTCTCCCCTAAGAATCGTACACCTGTAACACCCTGCGATTTAGCAAACTAGCTTTCAAGTCTTAATTACCTTTCCATAAGACATAAATTGATATATGTCCCTTCTTTTAACCATTTGACCTCCATCTCTCTACAGTTTGAGTATTACATTTTTGCGTAACATAACACTTTACGGTTCGCACAAGCCTTAACCTAATAGTGAAGTCCTTTTTTTGCGTGTGAAATACATAGTCATCTAGAAAAATGGTGCTAGTATTGAACTCTGTAAGGAAACCACCCAAACCTCTTCAAACAGTTAAAAATGTTTCTGCAAAACTGTTTGGTGTAATCGCGTAAGCTTTCTTCTTAAACTTAAATAAAGTTTAATTTACCTGAAGAGTGCTCTGAGAGAACAAGATGCATTATTCAAATAGAGATCTTATAAGACGTTTTAGTGTGTAGTATCGCTATGTATTTTTGCGAGTTAAAACGTACTTTGACGAGCCTGTAAGGCGAGTCAAAGTACAAACGAGTCAAAATACTCAGTGATACCACACACCGAAACGTATAGTAAGTTATTCCCTGGAATGCCTGTGGCAGGCCCACAGGGTTTGCCAGGCTTTCCTTTTTCATCGTCAACGCAAATCGACAAATCGAATTCATTCTTGAAATGTTTGACATTTTTCGTATCTCTTAGCAATGAATGAGTTTCCAGTAATCGGATGTTTGCGCTAGCTAGTTTCGACATAAAATTACACGATTTTGGTCGGAGAACACCGCTCTTTCGCCACCATTTTACCACAAATGGATTTAGGTAAGGTTGATACGAGGGAAGCTAACGTTTTTCTGTGATTAATCATGAAATTTGTGATAAAATCTAGCGATTAACCTCTTACCTGACGTAAGGTTTATTGTGTAATTCTCATTGTGAAATGGTCTCAAAATATCACATAATTAACTACAAATCGCTAAGAAAACACCCAGCACAGTTTTATTAATTATATTTAAGTGTGTAGAGCCCGTTTTCGTATTTGTTTTCGATAAACAACTTATAGCGACTGAAATTGTACGTCCTCAAAGGTGAGAAGTCGTTGTCAGCGGAAATGCTGTTGCTCTTTGGAGAGATGAAACAAGTGATGAGAAACAAGAAGAGATCAATAGGTTGAGTTCCAGCTTATTTCAGAAGAATCCAAAG